GTCTAATTTGATAATGTATTTACTCACCAGACACCTGCAGCAGCCCCTTTTTCCCTATAAAAATCCTTATAGGGTTTTTTTTAGTAAATTTATATGAGCCTGCTTATCAATTCAGTTTTAGAAATTGGATTTATAAAATGTTAACGTAAACTACGTTGGAGTGTGTGGCAAATCCTAAGAAATCCATAAGCATAATCAGTCCAGTCAGTTAGTTATATTCATAATTCTAACTTCATATCCTTATTAGCCCTTATCCCCAAGCTAGTGGGGTGTCATGGACACTGGACATGAAGCCAGACATTGTGCTATAGAGAACAGACCTCAAGTCCTAACACAGCTGAGTAGGTGACCCATGATTTTCATCCGTCCATACCAGATATCCCATTATTGTCCTGGATAATTAAGTTAATAGAGGCAATGTGGTGCAGTCGGTAGAGACCCTGACTCTGCTACTTGTTAGTTGTGTGACCTTGGGCAAATCACTTCATTTTTCTCTGGGCCTCAGTTTCATTGTCTGCAAAATGAGGGAGTCAGACTCAATGAGATCTGTTAGTTGCTAAGTCTCTGATGTTAAATTTCTTTATTTCGTTATATATCCATTTGTAGTATCCATAGGTTGCACCTTTCTTTATACAGCAGTTGTGTTCTTGCAATTTTAACTTAAAAACTAATTTTGGTAATGAATTCTGTTTTCATTGCACTAAGGCATCCAGTAAAAGAATCCTGTCATTAATGTTGAGCTTCGCCTTGTGAAGCAAAGAATCAGTTTATCTTACTATTGGTCGCCCACAAAATATCTGTCTTACAAGCCCAAAGTTTTATAGCTCATGTTTGTTTATAAGAAGCTTAGGACAGATGATCTCTAGGGACCTTTCCAATTTCAAAGCTCATGATCCTATGAAAGGAGGCTACAGCTATATATCTTATTATCTGTGCCTTTTCACACTATCCCTAAACCACATAAACAGATACCCTGTGCTACAGACATAAATACTAGAAAGATCCATAGTTTATGAAAAGCTGTTTCACAAAAATTGTGTAATATGTAGATAAAATATTAATACATGAAGGCTGTCTACAGTGTCATTTATATATGTGTCTTATTTGATCCTTACAACAATCTAGGTGTTATCCTCAATATACAGATGAGGAAACAGACTGAGAGAAGTTAATTGACTTACCCAGGGTCACACAACTACTAAGTGTGTCTGAGACAAAATACAAATTCAGATTTTCCTGACTTCAGGTTCACTCACGATTCACTATGCCACGTAGCTACCTATATCATGATTCTCCTGTAATTGTGATTCTCACCCCTTTTAGATTTCCAGATTGTAACATGTCTTTCTTTATGCTCCAAACCCTTTCAGGTCAATGGAAGTTCTGGGGCTAAAGACCTATTGCAATTCTTTAAAAATATATCCCTTCTAATGTTTTACATGATTGCACATATATAACCTATATCAGATTGCTTACCGTCTTAGGGAAGGGTGAGGGGAGGAGAGAGGGATAGAACTTGGAGCTCAATTTTTTTTAAATGTTAAAAATTGTTTTTACATGTAATTAGGGGGAAAAATAAATTCTTTCAGAAATATATCCTTTCTAGAACACCAATTAAAGTGACTGCCAAACACTGAATTAGCTTTTAGGTAGTAGTTGAATTGTACTGCACAAAGTTAATAGCGATTTGATGCACGTCAAAGAGACTATTGAATACAACTCTTTCTTTTTGTATATTAGCCCAGTAAAGTGAACAATAAAATAATATCCGCAAGCGATTCCTGGAAGTAAAGTCCAGAATCCTGCCCTTGCTGTGAATGGATGAAGTAAACACCATCAGAAATAATAACATGATCAAAATTCAAATGAGCATAATGGTTCTCCTTCAGATATGTTTTGCTTCATCGATAAAAGAAAAATCTAGCAAGACTACTTTTTTAAATGTCAAAAACAGTAAAGCTGGATTGATTTCAGTGTTTAAATTGAGGTTATTTTTATCATAAGCCATGAGACTGTGTGCATATTATTTTCTAAAAAGTAAAATAAAAACATAACAAACTAGAGACAGGGACCATCTGTTATACTGACCGTGCAACACAATGTTTCATTTACTCAAACATAATGATGAGGTTTCTGGGATCAGCTGTAAGGGCTGGGGTTTTGCAGCCTTGTCCATTTTGTGTGTGGTGAGCATCATATGGAAAGGCTGAGGATGTGAGTCCACAAATTCCAGTTTTGAACATGCATATATACATTCATTATTTATTCCATCAATGCATAGAGACAGTTAACAGAGGCTTTAATCATCCTTATTAAGCTGCTTTATATAGGAGCCCATCTCGATATTTCAGGGACTTCAGAAACCAGTTTTTTTTTTCTGAGAAAGAAAAACGTTATCAAAGTACATGATATTAGCATATTTCAATGTTTCTAGTTGGTCTTTCATTTGCTTTTCCCCAAATTTCATCAAATATTATCTACTTAAAATATCCTTCATGATCTTGGAACTGTATGTTATTTCAGAAATTGATTAGAAAAAAAAGATGTAATTTCTGCCCTTTTGGAGCTTAAATTCTAAAGATGTTATTAACATATATCTTTCGGACAGTGTAGTGTTTCGTTTTTTGTTAGCATAAGAAGAGGAAAGTGAGATAAAGTTGAGGGGAGGGATAGTTTAAAATACCAAATAACATCCACTTACCAGTGCCTCCAGCTTTTTGGAGGTATATTTCAAGATGCTATAGTACATATCCATCCAGTGAGAAGTAATTAATTGTCATTCCCTGATTCACTTTTATTATGTATGTGTCAAGTAACTTGATATATATGTGTGTGTGTGTGTGTGTGTACATATATATATATGTACACACACACACACATACATAAATCAGCAAAAGTGAACACAGTATTTACAAAGTAAAATAGCAGATTTAGGAATGGGTGCCATTTTGAGGGAGTGCCAATGTTGATCATTCAGAAGCAGAGAGTTGCCTTCATTCTTTCTCACCCCCACTACTGTCTTTAATAGGCAGATGTCTTGCTACACTGATCTCTCAGTTTCTTTATAATATAGACCACAAATCTGCTGTGGTCATAAATTTAGTTTTATTTTTATAAACTGCACCATAAAATTTTACCTGTTTTCCAGAATTCAATTTAGATCATGTAGTCCAGGGGTTCTTAACTTGAAGTTTTTGAGCTTATTTGAGATACCAAGACAGACTAACAGAGATCTCAGTGTAAATGGTTTCCATTATTAATCCTGTATCTTTTATTTTACATATCTAAAAACATTATTCTGAAAAGAAGTCCATGGGTTTTACCACAGAGCTAGTGGGATTCATATTACAGAATAGGTTAAAAACACCTGATCTAGTTCAACTTCTTCATTTTATATATGAGAAAACTAAGACTTAGGGATGTGAAGTGATTTATACAAGATGTCACAGCTTCTTAGAATACTTACAGATCTCCTGATTCCTCTCTATTGCACTGACTACTATGCATCGCTGCTTTCCTTACTGTCAACATTTTTTTACCTTATTCTGCCATTCACAATGAAACTTTGGGTCGTTAAAGGAATTAGAGAGACATTAAATGGAAGTACCAAGGAATGAATAGACAGTTTGTTTGAAATCAAGGGCCTCTAAATCCTTGCTAACCAATTAACAAGCATCAACCACGTTAGGCATTTTTCTAGTTTGGGGGCTTTAGAGACAACGAAATATATCCCCTGCCCTTCAAAAGCTTTCAGTTTGACAGGGGTTTAGATTAGTACAAGGTAATCTTGGAGGGGAGGGCCTGGCAGGTGAGGGGAAGAAAGGGAAAGTTAGTAAGTGTAGGTAGAAAGGGAATACATCCTAGTCCTGGTGAACAGCCAGGGCAAAGCCATGGAGATGAGAGTAGGAGTGTTGCGTGGTAAGGAAGAGGAAGAAAGCTAGTTTGGCTGTGCTTTTGTGTTCAAAGAGGGTAGTAGTGTTTGATAAGGCTGGAAAAGAGAAATGTGGTCTGGCTGGGAAGAACTTTAAGTGACAAACAGGTATAAACAGCTTATATCTGACACTAATGTTGGCCACACTGGAGTTGCAATGATGGTCAAGAGATTTGAAATGCATAATCAGACCTGCATTTTAGGAAAATCTCTGTCTGCTATGTGAAGGATGAATTGGTGTGGGCAAAGAATTGAGGCAGAAAAACCAATTAGGAGATCATATTACAGGAGTCTACATGAGAGATGATAAAGGCCTGAATTTGAATGAAGAGAAGGAGCTCTGTGGAGATGTCGCAGTGGTGGAAATAACTTATGAGAAATGTTATGGAGGTAGAAATGACATGATTTAGTAACTGGTCGTGTACGTGGCATATCTGAAAGTGAGGAATGGAAGGTGACACAGGTTGTGAACCTGGGTGACTTCACATGGTGGTACTCTCATCAGAAAGAGGCAAGTGTGGAAAAAGGAAAAAGAGGTCAGCCTTGGACACATTGTGTACATCCAATTCAAAATAGCCAATGGCCCAGCCATTGTTGTTGTAGGACTGGAGCACAGAAAAGAGATCTTGCTGTTAAGTTTGATCCAAAATATGGGGCTTGTTGTAACTTGTTGCAATTGCCCCAACATTCCAGTCCTACAAGACCATCTCAGCAGCCCAATCCTAATTGTTAATGAGAATGGCAATAGGTTAATATTGCTCGACATAAGCAAAAATAATGTTATTAGTGGAAGAAGAATGATTTTAGGAGTTCTGATGCTGTCTCAGGGTCTAGGAATAGATGTCACCACCATTCTTTGTCTTTAAAAGAATGATGACAAAGAATTTTCTTTTAAACAATGTCGCTCCTGTCAGCAAAAGATTCATCTGCTCTATGTTGAGAAGGGAAGAAAAACTCTGACTCAGATCTCATTTATGACATTATCTTGGCCAGTTACATTTTGGCCTGCTATTCTGGGTTTTATAACAAGACAAAATTCTCAAGACTTTTTTCTTCTTTTCTTTTGCAGAGAGAAGATGCGTCAGTCTGCCATGTATGAATTGTGCCAAGGGATGCACCAGATCAGCCTTCAGTTTGTTCGTCTACAGCTTACTTTTGAAGAGTATACCATAATGAAGGTGTTGCTGCTCCTAAGCACAAGTAAATTGATGTCCATCCCAGGACTTTTTCTTAATTTCTTTTTCTCTTCACTTGAATACAATATTCTAATTGCTTACAAGAATAAGGGGGGAAAAGATTTGATTTGTGCCAGGATTAGGTTACTCTTAACTGAGTTGTATAACTTTAGTAGTATGGAACAAAATTTATGAACTAGGCATTTCCCATAATTTTTTAAAAAGCTAAAATTACAGAGGCAAATGTGAGATAGTATGCAGTAGTGGCATATTTCAAAGTAAGGAGGGGAAGGTGACAGGGAGGTTGCAGATCTGGGTAACTTATTATTGTGATGCCCTTAACAGAAATAGGGAAATTTAGAAGAAGGATAATGGGGGCAGTTGGGGATTTGTTGTGTTTGAGATCTCTACGATACATCTAATTCAAGGTATCCAATGGGCCATCGTTGCTGGACTAGAGCTCAGAAAAGAGATCTTACTGTTTAGTTTGATCCAAAGTATATGGTTTGCCCTCACTCTGCATCACATGTAACTTGTAATTCCCCAATATTCCAGTCCTACAGACCATCTCAGTAGCTCAGTCACTAACTCTGTAACCCTGGAGCAATCACTTCTCCTCTGGTCCCTAGTTTCTTCATCTGAAAAATGGACAATTGGACTTAATCAGTGGTTCTCTAGGTGTGGTCCACTTAGGGGTCACTCAGACCCTTTCAGGGGGTTTATAAAGTCTTGAGGCACCTAGGTGGCTCAGTGGATAGAGCACTGGACCCAGAGTCAAGAAGAACTGAGTTCAAATTCAGCCTCAGACGCTTGTTAGCTGTGTGATTCTGGGCAAGTCACTTAATACTCTATTTGCTTTTATCCACTGGAGAAGAAAATAGCAAACCATTCCAGTATCTTTGGCAACAAAACCCCATGGACAGCATTGGCATGCTATGGTCCATGGAGTCACGAAAAGTCGGACATGACTGAACAACAATGAGGTCAAAACTGTTATCATAATACTAAGACATTATTTATCTATTAAAATACTCCTCCCTTTTCCGATTACATAACTGTGTAAGGACAGATTTTCTTCGCATATTTCAGCCAAATGACATATCACAACAGAATAAATGAAGAAGCAGATATGAGAATCCAGCTGTCTTCTATTAAACCAGACATTAAAGAGATTTGCAAAAATATGTAAAAAGTGCCACTCTTTTTATTTTTTGTTTTGGAAAATATATTTATTTTCATTAAAAATATGTTATTGTTAACGTGGATGGAGTTATTTTAATGAATCAATAAATTTTTTAAATGCATAAGTTTTAACTTCTAATATGGTATATCTCGAGAGAAGTAACCCACAAAACAAAAGTTTTTAGGGTTCCTTATTTACTTTTAAGATTGTAAAAGGGTCATGAGACCAAAAAGTTTGAGAACCATTGGGCTAAATGGACCATTCGGTCCGAGAGGTCATCTAGTCCAAACCTCTCATTTTACAGATGAAGAGAAAGAGTTCCAGAGATAAAGTGACTTGCCCAAGGTCACAGTAAGTGAACAGTCAGCATTGGAACTCAGGTCCTCTGATTTCAAACCCAGCCTTTTTCATTTCTCCATGCTTGAACTACACTCCCTCCATGATCTTTCACATCAGCCTCAAGGACAGATAGTCTTCTGACTTCTGCAATCAAACTTCATATTATTTAGACTGTACATGGTAACGTAGTAATTTTGTGGACTTTTTACTTCAAGATATCTAGCTGTGGTGCTAAAGTCTCAGAACTATGATTCATGCTGATTTGAGAGTTTAAGATTATACCCTCCTCCCTGAAACAGACACACACACACACACTCACACACTCACACTCACACTCAGCTTGCCATCTTCCTTCCACCTCTCTGGTTAATTGATTCATTTCTTTTTTAACCTCTAGTAACAAAAAAGGTTTTGGAAAAATATGCCAACATTATAAATTAATTGAATTTTCAGTGAATTCCGGTGTATGTGGTGTCTATTGCTTGACCTAGACTACTTAGTCTAAGTGAGTTGTCTCCTACTTTCTCATATAAACTGATTGAGTCAAGAACAGACAATGCTATCATTATGGTGCCTACTATGATTATTTTTTTCTTTTTCCAATATTTGAGTATCACAATTTTTAGATAAAGAAAAGTAAATGACCTTAAAAGTTTCACTGAATTTCCCATAATAACATATGAAAGAAGGCATGAGAACTTTTCCTCTGATTTGGGGATACTGAAATCACATACCTGCTAGGCAATGTAAAATATATTTAGGAGCATTTTATTGATGATGACATCATTTTGCACCTTCTGCATGTAGAAGAAAGTAGATATTATATCTCAATTTTTTCTTTTGTGCTCTTCTCCAGCCCATAGATTTTTGGAAGATTTCCAAAAGCAAGGCCTGCCGCATTTAATAAGTAAAATCAGAACTCTGGGCTGATATCCAAAGTGTGATGTTTTGCTTAAGTCCTCTTTATTTATGGGTTTATTTAAATTTTTGGAAAATCTGGCTGAGAAATAGGATACATTTTAGTTTTAGCAATAAAGTAAAAGTAATAATGGAGGTGGGAGGGAAACCAGACCTGTGATTTCATGGGTACAGGCAATTCCTGATGAGGAGATTCTCTTTTCCAATGCAGATCAGCACCTGTTCTGCAACTCATAGTCATAAAGAGTTGCCTGAGACCCAAGTGACCTGCCCAAGGGTTGGTCATTCAGCCAGGATGTGTCAGAGGCAGGACTCAAGCCCAGAGCTTCCTGAGACTGAATACTATACCCAGTATACCATGCTGCCTCTCATAAGTAATAATACTTGGCATAAAGTTTAATAACTTCAGAATCTGAGTAAAACAACCATCAAAAATCTAAAGGCTTAAGAAGAATGCCTAATTTGATCTAAGTAGATTTGCCAAGCATTAATGACCTAAAAGACAGTAGTGAAGCCTCTAATAAAAATGTAAGGTTCCCTTCTCACTCCAGTTGGTGTTACATTTAATGTACTATGAAGGAAAGCTATAGATTTCCTTGGTGGAATTTTATAACATGAAGAAATAAGCCTCACTACGGACATGTGTGATTTAGACCTACAGATTCTTTTTATATTAGTGTTTGATTTGTGCAACTTTCCAGTGCTCTTCTGAAGTTTGGACCTAATTTTAGAATTCCGGATAAAAACTGAATTTACAGTTTTAGTCAGCCAACATCCTCCATTATTACTCTTCAGTAGTAACTGCAAAACTGATGGATATGTTGTTAACAAATGCTTGTTGACTGAACAACTTAAAGAAGTAGAGAATTTATTTTTAAAAGTATGAATTTTATGACAAGGTTTTTTAAAATATTGATCACGAGCCCATCAGCAATATGGGCAGGTGCTAATAACAGATTTCTCCACATTTTCTCCCCTCCTCTCATTGGCAGAAAATGAATTAACCTGAACCAAGAATCAAAAACATTTTTTTATTTTTTTTTATATCCAGGGATGAAGTCATTAACAGTTTCAGAAATAAGATTTGTAGTAAAATGCCCATATATTCAGGATACTGATTTTATTTGGAAATTGCATGGTGTGCCTGATCACCAACATCACATCTACCTTGTTTTTAGCATATATTTGATGATACATGTGAATTTGTAATGAGTTTTCAAAAGTGAATAGGCAATGCATAAGTATAAACCCATAGAGTCACTTTTGAAACTCAGAACCTAACTCAGATGATATCATGAAAACAAATCACACTTAAAATGAGGCATTTCACTTTAAATACAAACCACTATGTAAACATAAACAAAAACCTACTATATTCTGAACTTTGACAAAGGTACACTATCCTATCATTTTTAATTGTCTTGGATCATTAAATTTAGTGTTAGAAAAAAACACCTTCTGAACAACTGGTTTCCCCCTGCCACATGCCCCGCCTAACCCTCTTTCTGTGACTCATGAATTTACCTCTTGCCAGTTCATAAGATTGCTAAGATATGTCTTAATGAGAGATTGCAGCACACTCCCACACATCAGGAGATCAATCACTGAATGTAAAGGGAATGCTCTGGGAATACACGCTTCTCTGTTGGAGGTAGTTTGATAGGTCAACTAGAATGTTTTAACATCTGAAGTATTAGCACAATTAAGTAGCGAGGATTTGTAAAATGCTTTGAAGGTAAGGAATAATAATGTGATTTAGTGCATATACCCTTTGTATATCATGCATAATTGCTAGTATGTGAATCTTTAAGTATCTAATTATGTTTATTCTTGAGTATCATTCATAATATTCAATATACATCTGAAAATGAGTGCCCAGAGATTTTAGAGTATTTATATGCATTAATTGATGTTTTATATACATTAACTTATTAAATTATAAAGCAGTGTAATGTTTTATCATATCCGTGTTTTTCAACACAGTTCCCAAGGATGGCCTCAAAAGCCAAGTTGCATTTGAAGAAATGAGGACAAATTACATCAAAGAGTTGCGAAAAATGGTAACAAAATGTCCAAGTAACTCTGGGCAAAGCTGGCAAAGATTCTATCAGCTGACTAAGCTACTGGATTCCATGCATGATGTAAGTTTAGTTCATTAATTGGCTTTTAAAACAACAACGTGGTAGTGATCTGTTACTGCTGTCTTAAAATTTTGGAGATATTTGAATATCTTGTTGAAGAATCAAGTTTAAAAATTTGGGGGTTGGAATAGACCTTTTCAGAAGTGCTAAGTGCTGATTAAGAAATTTTCATTTGAAAAAAAAAAGGAAATTTTCATTTCGATAAATCTGAGAAGAAGGAATAAACCACATTGACAGCAGTGGGTGTGGTTTTGTTCTCTTTAGAACAAGATCAGAGAACACTCCACAGTGTTCAGACCCACAGAGTACCCTTTGTCATGGACCTCCTTCCCATTTGCTACAGGTGTTGGATCAAATTTCACATATTTTATTTGCAATTTAGGGAGTATTTTGTTAATAAAAATGTTTGCTTTAACATTGAATAAATAGTTGATTCTCTGGCAAACTGTTAATCTTATAACTCAATCTTTGAAAAAACATTGTTAATGGTTTGGAGCCAACTTATATCACCTCATTTTTTTGCCAGATTTTGAATCTTATGTTCCCTTGCTATAGTGACTGCTTTCCTTGTCTTCTGGAGGTAGGAAGGTTGATTGGTGTATTTTGGTTCCTTTCTGATGTCACATCTGCAGGTGTCAGGAGTTTTATTTTTCCTGAATGGCAGAATATAAGTTAAGATCCTTCACTTTGTGTAATGGAGGTGGCATTAAATAAAAGATTTTTGTTTCCCTTTATGTGCTGATCCTTAGCTTGTGACTTTTCAAAATTGTGCACGAATGTACTCATTTCATTTTTCCTATTGGTGAAGACCTGGAATCTTTTTTAAAATTTCATTTCAGATCTATTGACAAACTGAAATCTGTTTATGTTATTTATATAGAGAATTTTTTTCCCAGAAGTTTCTCTGTTCTTTAAAACATTGATAAGCTTGATAAGAAGTATGGAGAATTATTACTAATAGTTTTTCCTTTGGAAAGCAGTTTTCCCTTTGCTTGTGCCAGGGAGATGACTTCAGTGAGTGGTGAAACAATGTCACTTCAAGAGGTTTATGCCAGAGATTCAAGATGTAGATCTTTGCTTCCTTTCAACTTAGAACATGACATGATCACAATGCCAGAAATATGTAATCTATAATAAAAAGCTTAATAATTATTGGGCAATTTATTTTCTAGAGAATATAATTTTGTAGAAGATTTTATGGCCAATGATGGCATTTCTGGAAGAAAATAAATTGTTCTCTCCATGGCACATTTTTGTGTTCATATAAAAGTTAATAAAGGGGAAAATTCATGTTGTTCAGTCAGAATATCATTTAAACAATAGATTGTCTAGTTGTAGGAGTTTTCTTGTTGTGGATGTCGCTACATTTTCTTTTAGTGTATCTTAGGATGAGTTCGTTGTTTAAAAATTTATTCTTTCTTGGTGTTGGCACAAGTATAATATAAAGGTCAGCTAATATCATTATATTCTTAGAGCCAATTAATATATTAACAAATGATATGTAATGGCAATTTTGCATTTAATTAAACCAACACAGGAGTTAAGAATTGTAGTTCCCTCCTAGACCCCAACTCTTAGAGAATTTGTGTGTATGTGAATCAGCATGTCATAATTCCTGTTTCTATAAGATGAATTAGGACAAGTAAAGAGAGCTATCTCATTTCCAAATCCAAGTCTTTTTAAGGAAACAAAAATACATTTGGTCTTCAAAGTGGCCTAATGACATTTTGAGTCCTCTATTTATAGCCCTACTACGGACAGAATATGGGGAAATACAGTGTAAGCCTAAAGGAACTTCTCTAAAGATTCTGCTTACTCAGTATTGCAACTGCTTACAGCTTTGGAGTAAAGCAGTAAATCAGTTTATGTGGAATTATCTTTGTGGAAGCTAGAGCTATACAACATGAAAAGTTCTTTGAGTATACAACAAGTTTCTGCTTAAATAACATCCATACCATAAGAAAGAAATGTAGTGTTTCTAGTTGGGTCTGAACATATGAAGTTTGGTACTTTTATCCATTTTTCCCTATAGTAAGTACCTGTGTGTGCACAAAAGTGTTCAAGAGAGCACAAGTAAAATTCTCAGAAAAGCCCAGGTTAAGGATTTGATTGGTTCACAGCAGCTCCAAGCTTTGTGAAATAGAACAGGAGACTTGGAGTCTGAGAGGCCTCGGGTTTGTACATGACCGCAGAATCCAGCTGTGTGGTTAGAAATGAGTCATATCACCTCTCTGTCTCAGTTTCTTCATTTGTAAATCTTATATGATACCCCCGTAGGACCTACATGTATGGATGAGAGGCTTATTCGAGACACTCTGTACAAGGTACTTTCAAATCTGTCAGCCATAACAAAGCCTCTGAATGCCCATCTTTTTTTCCAAAAGTTCAAAAGCAGAAAATGGTTGTTCTCAGAAGTATGACTTATAATCTATGTGTGTATCATGTATGGAACATCATCAGTCTTTGATAAATGACAGAGTTACCATTTTCTAACTCTGGGGATGAGATTTTATTTTTCATGGCTCTAAAAATCACTTTCTCTTTTTTTTAATGAGACAGTCGGGGTTAAGTGACTTGCCCAAGGTCACACAGCTAATACGTGTCAAGTGTTTGGTCTGAGGCTGGATTTGAACTCAGGTCCTCCAGACTTCAGGGCTGGTGCTCTATCCACTATGCCACCTAGCTGCCCCTGAAAATCACATTTCTAATGAGTACTTTAGCTCCTTTTATTTGTTCACAGAAGGCAGGTTCTGTTTCTTTTTTATGGTCTTTTTTATAGTTAGTTAATACTGAATGGTAATAGGAGTGTATGGGTTGTTCAGGGAGAACTAGCGCCTCTGGTATGAGGGCTTGCCAAAACCTTCTCAGGGCTACTCATCAACCTTTGGTGCCCGCCTGATTCACTCAACTCTCACATGTGACTCCAGGAAGCTGTAGCACGTGCAGCAACCACACCTCACTAAAAGTGTCTTGGCAAACTGACTAAACCAGGTTGAGCATAACCTACAGGCCTCAAACCTGTCAGTGAGTTAGGGGGATGTCTACCCCAAGCATGTGAAAACTTCCCTTGGCAGAATAGGCAGATGAGAACAGTTTGTTCCAACAGCCACAAAGGCTGCTGAAGCAGGCTCTGTAGAGCCTTAGAGCTTGGTCAGACATTGAAGATGCCAAGGTCATCCACTGCATCCTGGGCCATCACCAGTTGTCCTGACTTTTGTCTTGCTACTCACTTTGAAAGAGAGAGTGAGGTTGATGACTTTGTGCAACTCTGCGTCACTTAAATCCAATTCACTCTCAAGTTAAGATATCACCCCATGATGTTATTGGTACCCTTCAAAAATCAAGGAAAAACAACACCAAGTGATAATAAATATAAGCCCTGTTTCTACTATAATGGTTTTCCCCCAGAATTATACCCTTATGTTTAAATTCATTTCAATAAGCTATATTACAAAAACTACTACACAGCTAGCATTGGATTAAAAAGAAGTAGGTGACACGGACCTCTCTCCTCGAGGATCTTCCACTCAGGTTGGAGAGCCAATACTTATGGAGAATCAAATACAATGAAGAATAATACAAGAAAGGCAAAAGAATATGATGGAGTCCCAGCATTCCAGCAATTGTGTATTCAAGCAATATTGTAAGCAGGCTGCATCTAAAAGGCCAGCTAGTCCAGCCCCACCCCCCTCCATTTTGCTGATGTACAAATGGAAGTCTCCTAGAGGAAACGTGACTAGCCCAGGGTCGCACAGCTACTCAGTGGCATAAAGAATGCCCTTTTTTTGCTCTATCATTTTGCCTATTGTAGACATTCAAAGGGAGAGATGAGCTGCTTGTTTTATGTTGGGCTGTGTTATGCTGGTGATCAGAAAACGATCATCTAGGATCATTAGAAACAGTTGCTAGCCAAAGCTTCATTCAGATCTTTCTTGACATCTTCTGGAATGTGTTGCTTCATGTGGGGGAGGGAGCCTGCATCTTGAAGTCAGCAAAAACTTGGTTTTGTATGAAAGTTAAATGCATGTTAAGCAATTCTCAAAACAAAAATTTAAGTCAGCCTCAACACGACTGATTCTGAACAGATTTTTGTTAGGAGCGATTTTGTTTCAGCATGTTCTCATTCAGTTCTGTTAGCCTACCCTGAGGCTGCAGGGCAGCAGCCACTGGTGCCTGAGGCTTGACTCGGTTGCCATTTTCTGCCTGACTGAGAAGATCCTCTTGCTGAACAATTGCTTTCTGCAGGTTTCTGAAGGCAGTATTTAACAATTGAAATGGTTTTACCATAGGCTGGAATCTCTGAGTTAGGATGTCCCTTCTGGGAGGGGGTGGGGTGAAACTAGAAGTGTGAAGTACAGAACGTCCGGTCACACTGTAGATGGCACAGGAGTGCACAGGGAAAGAGTCATGTACTTACCGTGGAGACAATGAAGTTTTAAGTTTCAGCGACACAATTAGCAAACAGTAGAGAGAGAGTCATTCAAGGTTTGTGCTGCAAGCAAGCCAGAGCCTCTATTCAATTATTGGTATTTCTCATTGCTCATTTGGTTAATGGTTTCTTATGAAGTTGTGGTTTGCATCATGATGATTTTAATTATGATTATACCGCAGGTAGACTTGAGATGAGTCATAAGCCTACTTTAAGAATTTTCTGCTGCATACCAAATGAGAAAAATTTAAGTCACAAGTTTGGCTCATCCTGCTTTGTAATCTGTTTACTTTAAGATAGGATTCAGTGGCTGTGTCTAACTATTCTGGAAAGCAGTTTAGCATTGTGCAAATAACGTCACTAATTTGTCCACATCCTTTGACCCATAGATTCAACTCCTATGCCTATATCCCAATACAGTCACTGACAAAAAGAAAGGTTTCATATACATGAAAATGTTTAAAGTACTTTTTATAGTAGCAAAAAACCAGAAACAAAATAGATGTCCATTGATTGGGGAATGGGTAAAACAAATTTGTACTTGAATGTAAGGGAATGTTACTGAGCTGTA